TAATTGAGAAATTATTTAACTGTGTAATGTTATACATAATTAAGTGATCATACTATAATGTAATGCTATAATTAATTAAGTAATTATTTACTAATAATATAATGTTATAATCAATTAAATTTCTAATCATTTAATTAATTACTAATATTCAATATTTATAATATAATGTCATAATTAATTAAGTAATCATTTAATTATGTAATGTTATAATTAATTAAGTAATCATACTACAATGTAAATTGTAATGTTATAATTAATTAAGTAATATACTATTTAAATATAATGTAATATTATAATTAATTAAATTTCTAATCATTTAATTAAGTATTGTACTAATGTTGATATAGAGATAATAATGAGTAATCATACTATAAATTTATAATATAATGTTATAATAATTAAAATTATAATCATTTAATTAAGTATTGTGTAAATTACTAATGTTTATATTATAATATCATAATCAATTAAGTAATCATTTAATTATGTAATGTATAATTAATTATGTGATCATATTATAATGATTAAATAATCATACTATAAATCTATAATTTAATATTATAATTAATTAAATTCTAATCATTTAATTAATGTACTAATGTTTATAGTGGAATGTTAAATTGATTAATTAATCATACTATAAATCTATAATTCAATGTTATAATTAATTAAATTTTTAATTATTTAATTAAGTAATGTAAAATGTAGTAAATTGTAATGTTTATAATGTAATGTTATAAATTTATAACTAATTAAAAATCATTAACTATGTATGCTATAATTAATTAAGTAATCATAATATAATGTAATAATGATGTTAAATTAATAAGTAATCATTAATTAAGTAATCCTTTGTTTATAATGTAATGTACAATTAATTAAGTAATCGTACTATAAATTATAATGTAATGTAATATGTTATAACTAATTAAATTTCTAATCATAATTAAGTATTATGCTAATGTTTATAGTAAAATACTAATGTTTATAATTAATGATAATCAATAAGTAATCATTTAATTATGTAATGTTAATTAATTAGTGATCATATTTAATGTAATGTTATAATGAATTAAGTAATCATACTATAAATCTATAATTAATATTACAATTAATTAAATTTCTAATCATTTAATTGATATACTAATGTTTATAATGGAATGTTATAATTGATTAAGTAATCCTACTATAAATCTATAATGGAATGTTATAATTAATAAATTTTTAATTATTTAATAAATATGTAATAATGTAGTAAATTACTAATGTATAATGTAATGTTATAAATTAAACTAATAAGTAATCATTTAACTATGTAATGTTATAATTAATTAAGCGATATAATATAAGTAATGTAATAACGTTATAATTTAATTATAAGTAATGTTAATTAATTAAATTTCTAATCATTAATTAAGTAATCATTTGTTTATAATGTAATATTATAATAATGTTAAATATAATGTCATATCAATTAAATAATCATAATTATGTAATGTTATAATTAATATATAACCATACTATAATAAAATGTTACTCCCTCGTTTCCTTTAATTGTCGTTTTAAAACTTTCTAAAATTTTCAAAATTAAAGTCGTTCAGCCTTTGTCCATTTTTATCATCTCTCTCTCTTTCCATTCCATCTTGTCATTTCTTACTTTTTGCCTCTGTTTCTTTAATTTTATCTTTATCTTATCTCTTCCCCTTTTCTCATCTCTTCCTTATTTTCCATCGCCACATTTCTTTCTCTAATTTGTCTCTGCTTCCATTTTTCTCTCTTTTCTTGTTTTCTTCTATAGTTCCTCTTCACTTATTTGAAGCACCCTATCGTCTTCAATCTCCACCTTCACTTCCTTTTTCTGAGCTCTAGAAGATTAGCCTTGAACTCGTGAGCTTTTGGCGTTTCCTTCCAGTCCACAAGGTGTTAAAAAAGCTGAAGTTTCTTGAGGAGTTAAGAGGAGAGTGACGATAAAGATGATGGGAAAGGAAAGTCCTTGAATGAGTCAGACGGCACAGAAAGAGAGGATGCCTATGCGTGTGGCGAGGCGTTTAGCGATGGCGTGGAGAAGTGCAGAGAGAGTGGACTAGTCTGGTTGAGTGGTGTCCATGGGAGAAAAATTAAAGAACTGGAGCAGCTTAAAAGAAAAGAAACAGACGAAGGGGTGGGAGAAACAATGAATAAGACAAAATGTTTAAAATGTTATTTAAATAGGCGGGAATGTTTCCACTTTCAAAGTCCGTCACCTGCAAAATCAGGGAAAAAAACGGTGGGAGAGAGAATTTTTCTTTTTATTAAAACTTGTGCCCACACCTAAAACGTCAATTAAAAGAAAACGGAGGGAGTATAATAATTAAATATCATACTATAAATCTTTAATTAATTATAATAATTTGTTTATAATAGAATGTTATAATTAATAGTAATCATTTAATTATAATGTAATATTACAATAATTAAGCAATCGTACTATACATTTATAATGTAATGTATAATTAATTAAATTTCTAATCATAATTAAATATTGTGCTAATGTTTATGTAGTAAATTAGTATTTCTAATGTTATAATATAATGTCATAATCAATTAAGTAATCATTTAATTATGTAATGTTATAATTAATTATGTGATATAATGTAATGTTATAGTGAATTAAGTAATCATATATAAAATATTAATGTAATATTATAATTAATTAAATTTTAATCATCTATTAAGTATTATACTAATGTTTATAATGAAATGTTATAATTGATTAGTAATTATAACATAAAACTATAATGTAATGCTATAATTAATTAAATTTCTAATTATTTAATTAAGAATATACTAAATGTTATAAGTCAATTAATTAAGTAGTAATCAATAAATGTAATGGTATATTAAATACTTTAACAATTTAGTAATATTATAAAATTATAATTAATTAAGTAATCATTTAACTAGTAATTAAATTTATTAATATTATCAATTTATCATAATAATTAAATTGCTAATTTACTATAGAATACTTAGAACTTGATAATTGAAGTAAAAAACTAAATATATATTATTCAATCAAATATACTATTTTATTCAAAAATAATTCTTTTAATAACATTAAAATACTTTTTATTGGATCCTAATTCTAATTATACACTTAATTAATCAAAACTTTAATATTAATATATTAAATATATTAAAGTTTTTAATATGGTGTAGTTTAATGCAATAAGTATAATTGTATATTTATTTAATTAGGTTATCTAAAAATTTAACTTTTTCTATTTTAAATTTTTTATATGAAAATGTAAAACCCCCCATTATTCACAAATATTTCATTGTAGCCCAGGTTCCAAAATAGGTTCTAAACTGGGTACCCGTTACAGGTTCCAAACCGGGTACCTGTTTTAGGTTCTTTTTCCAAGTTCTAGTTCCTCCACAAATAAGAACCGAAATCGGAACCGGAACCGCATAGTGTCGGGTCCAATAAATGGAACTGGAACCTACTCGCACAATGCTGGTTCCAAGTAGGTTTCGGTTCCGGTTCTGGTTTATCCGCAGGTTCCGGTTCTACCCGCTACTGTGCTGACCCTAATTAAGAGACACATTTGAAGAATCGAAATAAAACGCCCAATTTTTCTTTATCCCTAAACCCTAAATCGAAATATCAAATGACAATGAATATGATCCAATCACAATTTTCTATTTTATTTGAAGCGTAAAATATCATTAAAGTCCTCATATTTCCCCAAAAAATTTTAAGCCCTAGTTCCAATTCCGGTTCTCGGTTCCACCCCTGTAGGAACCGGAACCATACAGTGGCGGTTCCAAAAAATTGGAACCGGAATTGACCTATGACTCCGGTTCCGAGTAGGAACCAAAACCAAAAGTCGGGTACCTCGGTTACGATTCTACTCTATTTTTTTTGCCCACCCTATTGGGCCCTCCTCCACGGTTTGAGTCTGGTTTTAGGACTAGTCCAAGCTTGGGTTTTTGGGTGGGCTTTTTGGGTTAAGTCCAAATTCCCAGATAGAAATAAAAAGTTGCCACCCACTCATTCTTAAACTGGTTCCGAACCGGGTACCTAGATCTCGATTCCGTCTTGTTCGATTATAGTTCCTTGAACTGGGGAATCGGAACTAAAACCGCACAATATTGGTTTCATAAGTTTGGGAACCAAAAACGACCGCCACAAACAGGGTATCTGTTGTTCGGGTCCACTCGAAAATTGCTCACCCCTAGTAAATTAACCCACGCTCATTAAATAACCAAACAGTAGTTAATCTTAACCAATAAGTTGTTAATTAAATTGAATAATATTTTAATTAAACTAAATTCACTGTTCAAAGAAATCTTTTCCGTCTTCAATAAAGTGTGTGGGTGAAATAACGTTTTCACAAAAAAATTTAAAATTCAAGGTAAAGGAAGCTCAAATGTTAGAGAGAAAGGGTATTTTCCGATATTTTTGGCATAGTACCGTAAAGTAGAGTGTTAGCAAAACCTCAGGCGTATAATTTGAAATTTCCCAAAAAGAAAATTGTAACATATTAAAGAGATTTAAGTTTACTTGAGTAAATGCATGTGGCTCAGCAAACCGATTCTTTTATTAACCAATTTTTCCATTTTTTTTTTAATATTTTTATATATAACCTTTGCCTTTAAGCAAACAATGTAGTTTGAAGATTCCAAAGAATGGTACCATTGCACAGATGTTATGAGGATCAGTCTTCTGAAAAGAAAGAAGCTATAAGATTGAAAATTACAACAGTTAAAAACACGAGCGAGCACAGTGAACCCTTGTGTCCATTGGTATAATCACATGCTTAACAAGAAATTAATTATACTTCATATCAATTTTTCTTTCATCTCTATAGTGGCAATCCAAGAACCTGAGAAACGTTTCCCAGGCTCAAAAATGGTGCTCTCATCTCAGTTAAACCAAGCATGCCACTGGTTAATGTATTATGCAGTGAAAATGAAAACTCAAGTAGTGACCGCTGCTATAAAATTCCTAGGATCTGTCATTGTTGCTTCCCCTGCCTGAACCGTAGCTTGAGTTTTGGGGTTTCCATTTGTTCAGCCACATCAACAATATTTGACGTTTTGAGTGTATCCAGTTCTTGATTAGATTCCCGCTTGCTTTCAAATAACTTCCCAGTCTTCCCAATAGCAAGTATCAGCTCAAGTTGTTTTTGCTGTTGCTCCTATAGATATACTCAATAGGAAATATTGAAGTCAAATCAACAGTTAAATTTGCAACACAAAACTATATTTATTATAATGCATTTGATCCACCTAGCCAAGGATCAACCATTGAAGAGTAATAACATAATCAAAGGGCAATATTTTGGCTAGAGTTATGCTTGTACCGTTGGCAACCTCATGGGTACATTAAAATAGCCCTTTGTGGTTCAATCATTGTCTGAAAATACACGGTCATTCCGATCAAGCCACTTCAGATGAAACCTTAATAAGTTTCAAGCATGCTTTCTGGAAGCAAATCAGTGCACTATTCCAGAAGTTTTGAAATCATCCAATAAAAATTACATTAAAGTTGTATCAGACTTACCTAGAAGAACTAAACAAAATAACAATAATAAAAATAGCAACTTTTATACCTATTAATCAGTAATCCAATAAAAATTACATTAAAGTTGTATAAGACTTACCTAGAAGAACTAAACAAAATAACAATAACAAAAATAGCGACTTTTATACCTACTAATCAGTAAAGAGATTTCTCCTCAAACCAACAAGATGAAAGGCTGAGAATATATATAAGGTTGGACAATTAGGTGAACATAATTAACATTGACCTAAATATTTCTGTTACACCTAAATCTCTACTGGTGAAAAACCTGAAATAATTTATTTTAATAATCTAGCAATCCCCAACCTCTCTTGAAATAATTATTTTAGAACGTAACTACTTTAGTTCCCTGAATTAAAATATTTAATTCACTCTAATCATAAAAGCCATGTTATTGAATTTACCTGCATGGCAAGCAAAACCTTCTGAATTTCTCCCAGCTCCTTCTCAAGAATGTCTTCTTGCATTGCTAATGCTCGAGTTGCCTCAGAATTTTTTTGGGCCAAAGTTGCAGCCTTCAAGCACAAACAGAAAGAAAAAACAACAAATGAATATATTGCACAATCAAAAGAGCTAACATGTGTACTAAGAGACTTGCACAACAATTCTACCACAATTAAAAGTTTCTTACACCAATTAGTTGATTTTTTAACTATAATTTTTCTCTGAAGCTCCAATATTTCAGGAGATCATATACTTCTATTGAAGGATAAAAGCATATTGTAAACTGGATTTTAAGAACAACGATTTGCTGTCTAATGCATTCCTTTGGGCCATAAAATAAAGAACTGGGAGAACAAATTTGTGGAGCCAGAAGTTCATAATTAACATTTCAACAGAAGACATAGCTAAAATTTATACACTACACAATCCAGTAAATATGTTGATTGTAGACATGTAAGGGTTGAAATGACATGACAAGTAATTGTACAGCAAGAACAAGGTACAGCACAAATACTGTAACAGCACAGCATGAGGGTCGGAGTTGGATGGTCTTAAAAGTTCGACTGGAATCGTGCCAAACATGAAACACAAATGGGTTTCATTCTAGAACGAATCAAATAGGATTCATGCCAAAGCACAACACAATTGGGCTTCATGTTTCACAGCCCAAATGGGTTATGGCACAGCCCATTTGGACCAACTTTGTATATACACAAATCAAAATTATCTAAATTTTAACGAATTTTAATGTGGTTGGTGGGTTGGTCTAGTTAAGTGAGCGGTGAGAGCTTGACTGGTGACTCGATATCAGTGAGGTGGGTAATTAGTAATTATAATTAAGATAATTATGATTTGCACATTCATAAAATGGTCGTACTAGTACAACTCATTTCAGTTGTGCGAAGGCACAAAGCCTTCATGGGTTTTCTGTTTGGCACGACCTATAAGTGCTTCATACTTTTCTAGCACAACCTTGACCAAATCTCTTGTTGTATTCATGTCGTGTTATGCCCTGCTTATGTGGTGTAATTTCAAGTTTGATTCGTGTCATGTTGTGCTAACCTGGGCCATATTACATGTCTAGTCAGAACACTACTCTTGCTTGGACACATAAAAGCATGTCTTGAAGAAAGAAATAAATGTTTTCATTGAGTCTATTGTTCTTAATACTCAGATACTAATTTATACCATATTAGAGTATCTCCCTAGAGATTCTCGTTATGATTTTGTCAAATCCTCCTGTTATTTGAAGTTGTCAAAAACTAATGTTATTTAAAGTTGTCAGTGTATCACTATACATACCATGTTTATATTTAAAAAAAAGAAAGATTATTATTTTGAGATTTAAGTAATGTGTATATATTATATCACTTATTACATGCATACTTTTATTTCCATTTGTCATAACATCATGAATTCATGCAAATGACATACTTACATAAGCCTATAGATTGTTTAATGTGTTGATCACACAATTTTCTACCACTAAAACATATACAAAATTCTAACATGATAATAGGTATTTAAAACTGAACTCATTATTATAAATTTGAACCTATCACATAGAAGGAAAATGCCAACTTATGTAAATAAGATTTGGCGCTCTAAATCAAAAACCTAATCTAAATCTCTTATAACAAGAGGTTAAATATGTCAGCACCAACTAATTACTCAATGGAATGCCCCCAACAAATAGCTTCAGAGAGATCAAATTTCAGCTCCATCAGGCTCTATCTCACTAATCTCACTCGTGACAATTAACACTCTAGTTATGCCTCCTCCAGCAAGTGTGTAAAAACAAAGAAAGTTTGTTGATTCAATTTCTCTAATCCATGTCAGCACACAACTGCTACATATTAATAATGACATATTTTATTACCATCTGAAAATTCTTTTGGGCAATGACAAGGAATATTTCTATTTTCTTAAGGAAATAATAGCATTATTATCACTGTCCAACATTAGGCAAATAATGCGATGCTTTAACTTGTTTGATAACCTGATTGTCCAGTATAATAAAGGAATTGCTAAGTGCTGGGAGAAATTAATGATAGCAGCACACATTGAAATTCTCACTCATATAATAATCCAGTAGCTGTTGATCAAGTTCCTAGTTTTGTCCCCCTTATAGAAAGAAAGAATAAAAAAGTATATACAAAATCACTCCCTTGAAATCAAATTAAATGAATGAAGATGCTTGGCAAAACAAAGCACCTACTCCCTAACTATAGAAAAGAGGGACTGCCAATTTGGAGGGCCTTGTAAATTGGTGATGGTCCTTGAGTTGGAAAGTCGGCCTTAAAATCATCTTAAATTGACTAAACAATTATAGATAGTGGACTGCAACAAGGATTCTGCAGTCTAGAAGACAATGAAGAAATCTTACACACACAAAATAGAGAAGAATCTGACCTACAAAATTCACAGTTCTGAGGTTACAGTTATATCAAAGTCTCTACCACAGGGTAACACATTTCTCTTCATGCTTGAGGTAATGAAACCACACAGGAAGTTACAAAAAGAAATATTCTACAAGAAAAGCAATATATTACGTTTTTTATTTTAAACCGAAGAAGAAGACAAAAGGGCATGTTAACTAAGACTGCCAACAGTAAACTAACACCAAAGCTCTAAAGTTTGAAGGGGAAAAATGTCCTCACTTCTAGGTTTCTTCCCGTTGTTCCTTCTCTAGCAGGCAACTGTAAACATTCTGTTTAGCTGTTTACATTTCATATCACACTTTTCGACATGTTCTTATGATTGTTATACTTTACAATATGAACATATCATATTATAACATTCTTCTGCGTTCCATATAGCTGTTTAGTTTCTAAATCCTAATCTGCATATTTAAGTCATCAAAACTTAAAATTCCACACTATACTCCCTAAATCATGCTCTACAATACACTGCAATAATCAAAAGGTTGAGAATTTCCATTACCTGAGTAATGGGCTCTTTAAGAGCCTTGCGAGTAACTCGGAACCTAATTCCCAACTTCTCAAGTTGCCTAGACAAAACCCTAATAATTGTAGCATAACTCCTCAAATCCTCCTCCAATCTCTCAATTCTCTCCACCAAATTCACACTCCCACTTCCCACAGCTCCACCCTTCTCTCTCCCGATCCGCCACAATTGCCGCCACCGTAGTACCGCCCCTGTCCACACCCCACACACCAACGCCACCACACCACTCGCTAACACCCTCTTCCCCATTAAACCCACCAACACTTTGGTCCCTAAAATTGAATAATTCACAAAAAACCCAATTGCAATCACCAGAGAAGATACAAGACAAACAAATTCAAACACTGACAAAACGGAATCAAGATTGAAACTTTCATGTGTCTGTGGTGTGATACTGGGGTTGTGAGAGCTGGGTGGTTTGAGAGAGTGATAAAATTTGGGAGTGAAAGTGAAGGGGGTACTATGGGAAATGTGGATAAGACTGCGGGAGGTGATTGGAGATAAAAGAGAGAAATGGTTAGGGTTTCTGGGGTTGGTCGCGAAGAAGAGTGAGGAACGAGAAGAGGGTAGTGAGTTTATGAAGAGCTGATGTGATAAAGTGAGTGACATTGTTGATAGTGTAAGCTTTTTCAGGGTTTTGGTTGATGATTTGAATGGAGAAAAGGCATGGCTGATGGTTAGAGAGGGAGAGTCACAGGTTCTGGCGATGAATTCAATGACTTGCCGCGCAGACTATGGCTCCACTGTAACGTTGCTACACATGCACCCAATGGTATTGTTTTTTTTTTTTGGCAAAATAATTCCATTTTTTTAAGGGCTAAAAGTCAATTACCTCCCTGGTCTTTGCTAAATCACAATCACGTGTAGACTATTCACATATTAATCAATCTCCTCCAAAAGTTTAAAGAAAATCATCATAAACTACCCCAAAGCTTCAACTCCATAAGACTTTCTGTCAGTTTTACTAGAGTTCAACTGTAATTTTAAGACATAATTTACAAGAAACTTGAAGCTTTTATCTAGGGATGGGCGCAGGCAGGGGATCCCAATCCCCAGGCCTGTCCTCGACTTCTAAGGGATTCCTCAAGCCCGACCCATCCTCAGGCTCGAGCTCGAGTTGGGGGGGATATCTTGGGCCCAGCCCGTGGGGATGAGTTTATCCCCTGGTCCCGCCCCGCCCTGACCTAATCAACTGGGTCTTTGCAGGGTCAACGAGGTTAAGCATTTTTTTAATACACTTTTTTTCCAATTTTTAATACATTTTTTTTTTATAATTTGCGTAAAGACTAATGAAAAAGCATATTATGATTAGACATATTAAGATTGGAATGAATTGTAGTTGATTATATGAAACTTGATTACAGATGACCGTATTTTACATAATTACCAATAAATTTAAAATATTCCAATTAAACTAATGAAATTAGAATCAATAATTAATATAAAATTAATTATTATTTATAAGAAATATTAACAAATATATGTGAGATATATACTGATTATATAAATTATATAACTTTAAGATATTTATAATTAGAAAATATGAAGATACATACTGATTATATAAATTATACTTCTAAATTCTTTATTAGAAATTCATTACAAAAGGTAACTAAAATACTCTAACACTATGAAGAGAATCTATTATATTGATAAGGATTGAGAAGTCATAGCAAAAGAAAACTTGTTATTACTAGGCAAATTAATTACAAATTATTATTTAAATTAAATGTCAAAAAATTAATTATAATATATAGTAAGACTTGTTAGATATAATCCATGATCAATTATAATATGTAGTAAGACTTGTCAGATATAACATTAGTAACTTGTTAGATATGTAGTAAGACTTATGTGTATAAAATTAGATATTAAAATTTAGAAAATATTATTGTCTAAAATTAGATATTAGACTTATGTGATACAATTTATTATGTCTCTCAAAGACTCCATCATTATAATACACATAAAGTTCCTCTTTCTTCTTCCAATTAATTGGTAATATTAATTTACAATGATTTTAATTTGTTCTTGTGTAAAGTTCCTCTTCCTTCTTCTAATTAATTTGTTTAGTTTGCTTCATTGATTAATTTTCAACTATTCAAATTAATATAAGAGCATCTCTAATGGTGTTCTTTATTTTGAAGAGCATCTATCTTCATTAATTTTTAATTATAAAGAACACAATTTTTATTCAAATCCAATAGACTCTTTAAATTTAATGAAGATGCTCTTTATTTTTAAGAAATAGACTTAATGGGAGAAAGAATTAATAAATAAAATGCATAGGAACTTGTAGTTTATTATTAAAATTAGGATAGAGAGTGAAATTTGACTCTCTAAATATGGAGAGTCAAACTCACTCTCTAATTTATATTTTAAAGATAAAGAGTCTGTTGGATTCTTATTTTTATGGATGGACTCTTTATAATAAAGAGTTTGGATCATATAAAGAGCATTTGAAGATGTTCTAAGATCAATAAAATTTATTAAATATTGATAAGATTACATAGAAAAGATCTTATATTAATTTTTTAAACGAAATGATATTATACATATATATACACGTCTTTTTTTATAAATCTCATTCTCGAATATACCTAAGGTTGAGCGGATTTGGGTAATCAGCCCAAAACTAAGGAACCGAAACCAAAACCAAAAAGTATCAATTCCTGGATCTTAAGAACCGGAAATGGTACAATGCGGTTCCTAAATCATGGAACCAAAACTAAAACCTATAGGTTCCGATTTCGAATCTAGGTACCCTGTACTATGTGAAAAATTAAAATTATAAAAGTGGTGGCCTAAAATTAAAATTATAAAAGTGGTGGCCTAAATTGGAAACATAGACTCAATACCCTTAGACTTGAGTTTGTCTATCAATAGTTTCGATATTCGAAATCGAGAAATAGCATTCGGGTTCTCACTCTTCTCTTCCTCTTCCACCTTAGCATCTGTTTTCGCTTCCTTTTTCTTCTTCTTATCCAATTTCAAATTCACAAGCTCGCCTAATTCTGAGCTCGTTTGACTTATTTCTTTGTCATCATCTTCCATAACCTTTTGCTTCCTGCTCTCCTTCTTCTTAGACCTTTTAGAGTCATTCACCTTTTTCTTCTTTCCCGCCGAAAACTCAGTTCATCTAAGCTTTGAAGAGCTATTTTCTTCTTCATCTTCTTCTCTTCTTTCGTTCCGTTAACGTCAAAGAGTGCTAAAGAAGGCATGTGGAGAGACATATAGAGAGTTTCTCCTACTTCACAAAAATGTGGCACTGAGTCACAGAAGTAGCAATGGGAGAGGAAAAGGAAGAATAAGAGTTAGGGTTTGAGTTTTCAATGTTTGGTGGTGGAGGTATTTTGGTTCGTTGGATGTGAAACCCTATTTTTGTTTGGATATCTATCATTGAATTATAAATATCTTAAAACTACGTCGTTTCTTAGTTTCATATTCTTATGATAAATATCAATTAAGTCCATTAGGTATCCTATTAATATCAGTTAAAGTCATGGTTCTTAAACTAGCTCCAACTTGGGTACTCGGATATCAGTTCTGGTTTTGGTTGTCGGGTCGGTTCCTGTTCCTTGAACTAGTGGAACAGATTCCAAAACTGCACAATACCGGTTCCATACATTTGGGAATCGAAACCGACACACACATTGTCCATTCTAGTTAGGAACAAGAACCAGAACACTGGGTACCTGTCGGTTCTAAGTTTACTCGAAAATTTTGCTCAACCCTAAATATACACATTGAACTTTTGACAAATATTTCACTATCAAAATAACCTCATATATTTTCAATATAGACATGCTGAAAGCTTTTAAGGTATTGGTTGGCACTTTAATGTCAGTTGGCAGCACATGAGGCATTTTATAACCCTAAGAGAGGATGAATCAATGTTTTTCAAAGTGTTTAATTCTTTTGACTCAAGAGTTTTTTTAAATACAATGGAAGACGAAAATCATAAATATCTCCAAAATAATTTAAAAAAAAAAATGCACAAGCTTTGCAAATACCTCTTCTCTAATATCATTCCAATTATTCAATAACTACAAAAAAAAAAAGTCTTTTACGATGGTAGTTTCCATCGTAAAAGGTCTTACGATGAGATTACCATAGATTTCAAACATTATATTAGGGTGGCTTCCTTAAATGTTTTATACTTATTTTACGACGATAAATTTTTGTTAGTAAATCGATAAGCAGAAGAAGCAAAAAATAAAAATTATTGCCCATCGATTACTCTGATTACGCCAAAATCAGGGTATATATATATATATATATGCTCAAATTAAAAATAACAAAGATAATATCAATCCAAACAAGGATCAGAGATCTTACACACGTTTGAAGGCTCCTTCAAGTGTCTCTGAATATACTTCGCTATCAATTCAACGTAGAATCGCACGAACGGTGATCCACACAAAGACAATTCAAAGAACCAAGACGGATTTGCTAGATCCACTAATTGGCTTCAAGAATCAAGTTGAATCAAAGGAAAAAGTTCTTTGATTCACATCAAGGGGAGAATGTGAGAGAGAGGGTGTAAAGGGGGCTGCCTCATTTTCTTTTAATAATGATTGAATGAATGATTTCTTTAACACAACTTGCACTTATATAGTGCATGTGTTAAAACCCTATTCCTATAAGGAATAGACATGGGCTCCAACCCTAATCCACCCTTGTATCCAAACACCTTTGTTATGGTATTTTATATTTAACTAATTATTATTATAATTAAAATCAATTAATATATATATGAAATATATTAACATTTAATTAATAATAATAATTCATTTAAATATATGCGCACATATATTTAAGTATAATCTCACTAGTTTAATTTTAACATTAAATTAAACATAAGTTACAATCTCTGTAAATTTAATTACACTATGAGATTACCAAAATACCATTTCTTCCTAAAAGACGAAAATACCCCTTGCATAAACTGGTGGTTAAATTATCTTCTAAGTGTATGACCTGTAGGCTCCTCATCATACCAACAATGAGTAGTATCGCGGTTAACACCAATTAATTGTCTCACTACACATAGACCAAAATTGAGCCCTAGCAAGGTATCATGGCCACCTGATAGATTCAAATTCAGTGAAATAGCTACATATCAATGATATGGTTATCGTGCAATCAAATCCTTTCATCATCTGTTATCTCATCAAGACTAAGGTACAGAAATAGTGTCAATCTTAGTAGCTCTCAATTTATTTGTATTCAGTTACTGGACCAATGACCAGAATAATAAATTGAATTGAGCAACAACTCAATCCCACTGTGGCCAAAGCTTTAGCGTCATTGCCATTTATTGAATTACACAGTGAGATAACTCCTCTCGTACCCCGGAGTGATGAATCCTTTGTCGATCCACCATAGTCTTGATACACTCCTCGATGCAACCAATTACCTCTGTATTGATAGCTCTGAATAGAACTACGCTGTGTCAAACTACACCAATCGGTGCACAAGGCACTCTGGTGATCTCAAGTCTAAGGATCACATGCAACACTGTTAGAGGATTTATTCCATAGACACTAGGGTTACTATCTTATGGAATCCTCTAGTGGGTCAATCCAGTAAACTTGCCTACAACAAGCACCCATGTGTTGCACCAGGTTGTTGACAAACAACCTTGACAAGTGAGATCAGTCACTGCCTTTCGATAGGATCGTTTAACACTATAATAGCCTTACCGTATTATCTATGTCCATGTTTAGAATAATACTGGGGCTACGGACATTTC